CCTTGTGGATGCACCTTTGCAGGCTGTGCTTGTCTGCCCTCATGTTCCCTTCAGCTGTGTTTCCAGGTGGAGCATGGAGCTCTTGCCAGCTACCCCTATAGTCTGCCCAAGGGACCTGCAGCCTGGGGGAAGCAGTGACCATGAAGTGCTTGTGGCTTGCTGGGGTGAGGCTGTCTCAGCAGTGCAATTGAAGATGCCACTCTGCCCGTCAGCAGCTGGTAAATAGATGCAGCTCTTGGAACATGCTGGTTCGGGTCCTACCAGCTACCAGGAGCACAACGGAGTGCTTTGTCCCTTCTTGCACAGGGAGCCTTTCTGCTGCCTGGGGAGGTGGCTGGGTCTGTTCCCAGTGTAGTGATAGCTCTGAGCTCCACAAGATGTTGAGGCTGACTGCAGAGCAAAGATAAGCAGACTTAGAACTAAGGAGAAAAGGCAGGGCGTCCAAGCTAAAGGTGGCTTGATGGATCTGTGTATTCAGTCATTCCTTCCTCCCCTTCATTTTCCTTCTGAAAGAGTTGCTCTCCATAAGGATGGTGGGCAAGATGGGAAATTTATATTTTGAGGGTAACTGGGAGAGACAATGGAGGACTTGACAAGGAGAGTAAAGTGCTGAGGGGGTATTTCTGCCCCATTTATCATTTCTTTGTGATTTTTTTTTTTTTGGTAGCACTGGTCTTGTGCTGCAGCAAGGGAGAGGCTCTTCACTTCTGGATGTTTTACCTGGCCTCTGGAAGGTGGCAGGCAGAGGCACAAATTTCTCTTCTCCAGCTGTTTTCTAGGACAGATGTTGAACGCAGCAGCATGACGCTGGCTGCAGTTGGCTGGCGGTGTCTGTCTCGTCCCTGCGAGGAGGAGATGTCTGCAGTGGTGTGGCCAGACTCCTCTCCAACTGTGAGCTAATGCAGCTCCAGAAACAACTGCGCCTCTTCCAGTAAAAGCCTCCCTTGCTCTGCTTTCCTTGCCCAGTGTTGGACATCTCTGTTCACTCTTTCTCAGCTTCCTCCTTGACAGACGTGGTATTTTGAGAGACAGCGGATCTTCTGAAAGCCCTCAAAAATTTGCTTCCTACAGGGAAGTGCTCTGGCTTGCCCTGCCAGGTTGTGATCCTCTTGGGGATATCCCTATGCAGTCTTCTGTGGTGCTGGTCTCCTCTTCCAGGTGGTTCCGGGAGCCCCCTGTTTCTAGAGTCTCTCTACTCTTTGGTAAAAGCAAGGTGCCTGAGACACTTTGAAGGATGTGAAGAGAAAACTGCCTTGGCAAGTGCCACTGTCCTAAAGGGCATGTCCTCTTGGCTAGCTGCTACCTCCAATCTGCTTCTTCCAGTGCTTTCTGCTGGTTTCAGAAACAACCCTCCTAGTGAGGGGGTGCTCCTGCCTCATCCCATCAGGCCCTTAATCTTTCTGTGGGCTGGAAGACCTAGCAGGTCATTCCCTCACCCTGCCGTCTGTGTCAGATCTGTACCCAGGGTCATCGCACCTGCATGAGCCCCTCTGCTGGCAGGTGGGGCCACTGTGAGTCAGGCTGGTTGGATTTGCATGTATGAACATAGGAGACCTACAGAAGGAATGCAAGGAGAGGTGGTCCATCAGAAGTGGAGGGTGATTAGTGCCAGAGCCACAAACAGTGTGAGTTTTAGGAGAAAAGCAGGGCTTCTGTTGAAACTGGAGGTGCTGGAGGCTCTGGTCAGGCTTGGGGTGGGGTGTGCATGTGAGGCAGAAGCTGGCTCAGACCCCTGAGGAAGGGATGAAGAGCCACCAGGCTTGGGGAGCGGGGTAGAGGATGGCTGTCTTGCATGTGTGCAGCTGCTGTGCCTGCTTCCGTACAGCCATGCTGCTTGCCTGGTGTGGGATGGAGGCACCTCGTGGGGTTAAGTGCTTGAAGCCTTGTGAATGCAGTGGGAGTTTCCTGTTGCTGCTGGGCAGGAGGAAACTACTTCCAGCTGTCATGGGGAGGGGTGCTGGAGTGGGAGACACTGGCCAGGGAGTAGGACCTCTGGCTGCTGAGGAGATGCTTGCTCTGCTGAGCAAGCACCTCCTGCTGACAGGGTTGGGGGGGAGCAAGTAACTGCCCTCCTTGCACTGGCAGCTGCTGTGGTGGCCCCACGAGGTGTCAGTGATGCCGCTGCCTGCACTGAGCTGCAAGCCTTCCTGGCCTGTGCCAGTGCAAGGAGATAACCATGCTCCAGAGCAGCATGGTGGCCTCGGACTGAGGAGCAAGAGTGCAGCTGAGCTGAGGCCCTCTCACAGGCTAATGGAGAAGTGAAGGGGTTTGTGAGTAGCATCAAGATAGCACTTTGGTCATGGTATCAGGTGGGACCCCTCACTGGGGAGGAGGGTCCTGGTAATGTCCATGCCCTCGATTCCCTCCACCCAAAGCCGGACTGCCTGGGGTGCACTTGATTGCTGTGCCATGGAGGAAGCTATGGGGCCAGCTGGGAGCTGACTTGATGGCACCCACTTGCCTTGTGAAGGTGTCTAGCAAGGAGTCCAACCAGCCCAGTGTGCCTGGCTACAGACAGCTGCCTTGGGTGTGGTGCTGGTTCCTGAACAGGAGCCTGGGATCCAGCAGATCTAACTTGATGAGCTGATGAGAGGCTCCTGCTAGGACAGAGCCTCTGCAAGCTTGCAGGGCTCCTCATCATACAAGCCATCACAGGAAGAGGGACTTGATGTCCCTGAGCTCATGCTTGGGGCTGTTCAATTACTCGCATCACGGCCCTTGTGCTGGTGGAGGGAGGGCTTGGCCATTGCATTGCAGGCAGCTGCGCGTTCTGGGAGATGTGTGCTTACTGTCCCCTCCAGCTCCTGTAAGGAGGCTGCAGTTTCTTGGTCTTGGCAGTTTGCTGCATGTATCTGCATGCAGGAGTGATTGCAAAGCCTCTGGCTTTGCACCTCCATCGGATGTGACTTCCACTTCTTTAGGGATGGAGGGAATAGGGTTTGAAGGTACCTACTGCGGATGTGCCTAGCTTGGGAGAGTAATCCAAGGGCTGTCTCTGAGTCTCTGGGTGTCCTGATCCTCAGCTCTGTCTCTTCTGAAGACCTGTGTGCAGCTTCTGGAGGTCTTGTGCAGCTGGGGTTGGGGACCCAGGTTTGCATCTCCACTCTTGGATAACATTGCAGCAAGACTTGCATTGCATGTGTCATCCAGCGCATCAGTTGGGCAGCACGCTGCTTGCTAGGTAGTTAGAAAATAGCTGGCTCCTGTTTTTCCCCTTGTTGCCAGCTGTTACCTCAGTCTGGAGCAGCTTTCTTGATGTCTCTTGCATGCTTAGAACCTACAGAGGAGACCTGACTCTGGCAAGAGCCCTGTTAGAAAGGCTGGCAGGATTGCCCTTGCTGGGCACACCGTGTTCGATGAGCTGTAAAGCCTCTGCCAAACTAGATGCATTGGCTGTGGCTGCAGCTCTTCCTTTGCCTGACTGGCCTGGGACCTTGCTTCAGGAAAGTCTGCCTGTTCTCGACAAAGGGTCCCTCTTATGGGAGAGTGCCATGTATGGGGGCTGGAGCTGGTCTGGGAATACTGTTTTTTTCCCCTCTAGCCCTAGGGTGGTGCATGTGCTTGGGAGGGGAGCATCTAGCCAGACTTGTTCAGGCAAGGGGACAATGTTGCCGGGATGGTTTGGCAAGGGGAACAATTCATGCTGGGCTCTAGGGTGGTTTCCGCCCATCTTAGAGCAAACTCCGTTGTTCTGCTGGTGCCCAGAGCCCTGAATGTACCTGCTGCCCTTGATGCCTGTCTGCACTGAGGCTGTGCTCTCCTCCCACCAGCTGGGGAGGGAGGAGAGTGGAGATGGCCACTGTCTTTGAGCTCCCTTTGAAAACAGCAGCAGGACCAAGCTCTGCTAGCTGCCTCTGCTGCTGGATCTGTGTTCAGTCAAGTGGCACAGTTTCATCTCCCACTGCTCTCAGGCATGAAGCTGCTAACTCAGCCCAGCCTGACGTACTGGTCGTGCAGATCAAACAGGAGCATCTGGATGTCTGATGCTATTCTGCTGGATGTTGCCAGCTTGCTGCATCTACTGACAGGCTGGAAATTATCTGTTCACTTACTGTTCCCATGACTGCTTGTTGGGTCCCCATCCAGCAGTCCTGCCTCAGCAAGGAACAGGCCTGAGCAGTAGATGTGGCAGCAGTGACCTGCCAGGGAAGCCTCCAGGTCTTGCTGGTTTGCAGTTCTACCAAGTTCTTGCCATGACATGGTCTGCCTGGAGCCTCTTCTGATGGCTGGGTTGTGGCTTAGAAATTTTCATGGGTCTCTTCTGTGGCGGATGAGCCAGTTCTTACCCCATGCGTGTTATGTAGAGGTTGTCTGGTCCTGAGATGCCTCCTTCTGAGGGCAGAGCAGCCACTGCCTTGAGGTGCTGCATGCCCAAAGTGATCCTCATCTGCCCTGCCTCAGCCTGAATGGGGGGAGGGGAAGATGTAAACTTGGGGTATGTGTGGGAATGGGAGCGTGCTGGGGGGAACAGACCCTTCTTGCGCACACTTCTGCAGTGGTAAACTTCACAGATAGCTTGGTGGTGAGGAGACTTCCTAGCTTGAATGGTGGTGTTCTGTGTGTTGTGAGCTGGGGCCAGGCAGGGCTGTGAATTTGGGGGCTGTCGTCTGGTTATGCCAATAGGCAGAAAGTACTTGAGATGTTGAGGCAAGCCTTGGGATGGGGTGCTAGCTTCCTTCTTAGATGTGTGGGATCCTGCCGTGCTTTTTAAGGGAAGACCTGGCCTGATCCCAGCGCCTGGTGAGCCTCAGCCTGTCCTTGCGTGAGCCACCAGAGCTGGCCAGTGTGGGGCTGGCACAACGGGTAGTGCTGGCACAGTGCAGCCCCTGGTTGGGATGCTACTCAAGTAGTATTTGGGGCTCACCCTGCAGTCTCCTTTCCCATGCTGGAGACATCTTTACTCAGTAGACCTTGTACGTGGCCTGAAGGAGCTGCAGGTTTGGGTTTTGCTTGGGATAATCCTGGATCATGGACCTCTGGCGTGGCTTTTTTTTTTCTAGATGCGCTGGTATCCTCCCTCTGAAGCTACCCAGCAAGGATGGAAGTCTCGTCAGTTTTGTTAGTTCGTTAGTAAGTAATTAATTACTCTTGCAGCTGGGTCCTTGTCTTTTGGTCATCCCTGGGCTCTTTGGGCTGTTGTGGGGAGGAGGGATGGGAGCTTGGGTTCAGCCCCCCGCATCCACCTAAAGATGTGGTTGGGTCACATTGATGGGCCACATCCACCCCGGCGGGAGCAGGGAGGCCCACCAAGCCCTGGGGTGGGGAAAGGGCTGTGGACGCTGCTGGGGGAGCAGATCCAGCCAGCCCCGCTCACCACTGCTCCTCTCATGCAGCATCTCTCCTCAGCTTGTGTTCCTCCTCCCTGCCTCTCCATGGAGGGATGTGCCAGGGACGATCGCTCAGACTCCTCTTGGTTTGGTTTGCGGCCAGCGGACAAGGCGCCCGGCCCCTGTGTGCTCCCTCCCAGGGCTGCCGGCATCCCCCCTCCCCGGACTGTGAAGCTGCTGTGGCCCCCTGCTATGGGCTAGGCACCGCCTCCATCCCTCCCTCCCTCCATCCCTCCCTCCATCCCTCCACCCCCAGGACATCCTCCCCGACTGAGCTTTGCCGTCCAGCTGTGCCAAAACCCAGCCGGGGGGCTTGGTCCTGGTCTTCCCGGGCTCGCCCTGCCCCGGTGGCTCGGCTGAAGGAAATGAAAGGCAATGGGTTTTGCATGTTTTCTGGCATGAATTAAAACACTTAACTTGTGTATGTGTGAGTGTAAGTTTGTTTGTTCTAGCGTTTGTGTAACCGTTAGCAACAGGTCTTGGCCCAATGGGTTGATCTATCAAGGTTTTCATCTTGCTTCGGTGAAGACTTGGCTTTGAGAAATACTAACTGTCCTTGTCTCACCCCTTCTCCCACCTCCGCCTTCCCCCTCCCAGTACAACCAGAAAAATTTGAAAAATACTTTTTTTTCCCCAAGTACGATGCACTGGGTTTCTGTTCTTATCCATTCTTCTCTGGTTTTAAAGTCAGGGTTATTATATTATTTTTTTTTCTTCTTCAGACTTCTATATATAGAACGGCTGTAAAATATCTAACCTATTTTTTTTTTTCCACATCCTTCTGATTGGAGAGCATCCAGTCCTGCCAAATAATCAGCCATCCTTATGGGAATACCGAACAAAAAAAAAGTATGAGTATTTTTGTACCATGTGTAATAAGGAAATATTTATGCATCATAAAGAATTTCTTGTGTGTTTGTGTGCAATTAATTATTATTATTATTAAAGAGAAATTGTAATCCTGTAAGATAAGTTAATGTTTAGTTAAAAGCTTGAAAGAGATGGGTTGTCTTCTGTAACAATGATTCAGTCAGGCATAGTAAACAAGAAATTGTGCAATTTTTGTTTTAGCATCTTATTGCTTGGTATTGAAGTGCTTTAAGTATTATACGACCATGGCTGTCTCGCTTGTATTAAAAGATTTGAGAATAAGTTGCTATATCATTGCTGATCCTATGAGAATGTGAAACTGGATAATATATGAAATGCAACCAAAAAAAAAGAAAAAAATATACCTAGAGGCTGCTGTGACTCTTTTTCTGTGGTCTGTTGTGTTTTCTTCAGGGGCTGGGCTGGGCTGGTTCAGTGGAGGGGTATAGCACGCCCCCTTTTGCCTTTCTGCCCGGGGCCCCAAGGATATAGGCTGGTCAGGATGCTGCTGAGGACCACGCGTGGGGCTGGGTGGCCCTGTCCCTCCGTCCGTGTTCCGTTCCCTTCCTCCCCCTCCCCCGCCAGGAGAAAGGCAAGTCCTTGCCTTGCGCAGGCATGTGTTGAAGGGGCTGTTGATGCTGAGCTCTTCTGGAGGCCTCTGAGAGGGCAACCACGAGCTTTTTTGGGTGTTTTTGTTCCCTCTTCTGTGCCAGCGCTGTTCCTCCCTGCCAGCGGTGCAGCGAGGAGAGATGTCCATAGAAGGCAAACATCCTCTGCAGCAGCACCCCACGCCTGCCCAGCTCCTCCTCTGGTGCAGGGTATCCTGGCTAGAGCTGCCGACCTCTTTTTGTGGCCTTATCAGTACCTGCTAAAGCAGCCCTAGAGCAGGGGGTGGTTGTCCTAGTGGGGTGGAAGCGGGGCTGGTTGTTACAGTAGGAGCTGCCTGCAGATGCACTGGAGGCAGCTTGCTTAAATCCCAGCAGGGTGGCCTGGGGGGGTCTCCCTGCTGTGCCAAAGGGGTTGTTGGGGCTCAGCTCAGTGAGTCTGTGTGATGGGGTGCTCCTAAAGCCCTCCCATGCAGCTTCCTACTCCAGGGATCAGTGTTTTCCTCTCTCCCCAGTGTTTTGGGGGCAGCGCTGAGCAAAGGTGAGGAACGGGGCCGGGGGGGGGGATAAGAAAAAGCAAAAGATAGGTCTATAAATAGCTCTGCTGGCCACCATGCCTGGGAACGGGCTCCGCTGAGCTCTGCTGCTCCAGGAAGTGACTCGCTGCAGGGCCGCAGGCTGCCAGAGCCCGAGCCGGGCTGCCAACCCCTTCCCCATGGGACCCCCCTGCCTGGGGTCCAGGCAAAGCTTGC